TCTTCTTTACGTTTAGCCATGAACAGTCATCTGGCCTAGTTTGGGTACTAATCCGCCTTAGTCATATCTGTTGACTGCTAGGTATTGCTCCCTGGATAGAGACTTACTTGTAGCAAGATATTGGCTGGTGCAATCAGTGACGCCATCATAACCGGTTGTAATGGATTGGTCAAGCTCGGTGGCATATCCCGACGGATGTGGCCTGGGTGGTGTCATGTAAACTTGGGTCCCTCCAGCTAGACTAGCCACCAGGCCAGGCAACATGGGTGCACTCGAGATTGGTGACTGAGGCGTCCTGACAGCAAGATTTTGCCGGTTCTGAGCGGCCTGCTGATGTTGTAGATTAGTCAAATGGTGAAGCTGAGGCTGTTGATAGTGATCCGAGTAGCAGAACTGAGTCGACCGATTGGCCGTCTGCGCGAAGTGGTCGGTGGCCGGAAGCCGGCCCTGTTGAAAAGGTCCACTTGCCGTGATCACCGAGCGCATGTCGGCATGCTCAGGCTCCGACTGAGTTCGCCGCAAGCAGCTGGTTGCCCCACATATGGGTGGTCCGGGGGTCTCAGGCTCGGCATTGTCGAGGTCTCCGTTTAGAGGCTTGGGGGGTTCAGAATGTCCTGGAGTTCTAGAGGATAGACAGGCGAAACGGAGGTCAGCGGCAACAGACCCTGACGTTCGGGTCCCACGCCAGTTTTGGTTAGACTGATAAAAACAGCTACGACCAGGCCTGGGGACGCCTGAAAGAGCAAAATAGGAAGTGTCCAAAAGATCACAAGAAGAGCATGATTTGGCGCCAGTAGCGATGGTTAGGTTAGAATGAAGTGATTAAGTCTTCCAGGCTAAAGAATATCAACCAGGTCTCTTATAGAGCTACTAAAGTACGGACTCAAGATAGCTAGAAGTGGGTTGACCTCGTTTTCGCAACTTGGTCTTGTTGTCAGGACGACTTAGTTGAACGGACCTTGTCCAAAGTCCTCTGCCCTAGTAGCTATCATAATTCGCAACATCAGACCGTGGACTTGGTACATTCTCAGACGTTTCGCCGGCATCGTAGTCAGCATCATCAGTGAGTCTTGCCATTTTCCGCACCAAGCTACAAATTCGTCAAAGCGACAAGTAAAGTAAGCCCCTCGACCACCATTCTGCCGAAACAGTTACAATGTCACTCCTCTTTCTGTCTTGGCCCATCTATCCACCGCATATCCTTTTATCCAACTCCCACCCTATCACAACTTTTGACATTTTTACATTCTACTCGTCAAAAGGTGTGCCCTTTTTGGCAAGTTTGATGTGGCCTCATCACACCTGTTGTTCACCCTACCCCCCTCTCTCGATCAGCTAATCCTACTCGGGCCTCCTATCTGGATTTCTCTCATGGTCTCGTAGATATGTTTCTTATCTTTCTGGTTGACCGATTTCATTCGGTTCCAGTCCCCGTGTGCATTTCAACTGAGCGAATTCGGTCAACCAGAAAGATACCATGAGGTACCATGAGGGAGGCTTGTATAATAGTTCCGAGTCTGATTAAGCAATCTAAAGAGAGGGGGCCAAGGTGAATAGCAGGTGTGATGAGGCCACACTAAATTTGCCAAAAAAGGACTGACATTTTGACGAGTGGAATGTAGATAAGTCAAAAGTTGTGATAGGGCGGGGGTTGGATAAGAGGGTAAGCATTGGATAGGTGGGGAAGAACAGAATGAGAAATGATAGTGTAACCGTTTCGACAGAATATTGGTCGGGGAATTGACTTCACTAGTGTCTTTGACAAGTTTAAAGCTTGGTTCAGAGAATGGCAAGACACAGTGATGGTTTCGGCGAAACGTCTGAGAATGTACCAGGTCTACGGTTTGATGATGGGAATTATGATAACTACTATGGCAGACGACTTAAGATAAGGTTCGTTTAGCTAAGTCGCCTTGACAACAAGACAAAGTTGTGAAAACGAGGTCAACCCACTTCTATAAATCGAAAGGAGACTGTGACCATACCGCGCCATCTTGGTCTTCATATCTTCAAGCTAGTCAGTTCTGCAAGAATGTAATAGAAACGCTACCCCAGCAATGCATCCTCCGGCCACGCTCCATGACCATATCTCCACGCTCCACCTCAGTGCCACATTTTAACTAAGCACGATGCTTAACTCTCTAAGGGCCAAGTTTCACATGGTAGAACATCCCATCCTACTCAATGAAGGTCATGACGACTACCACTCAGCTTCTTTGCTCCACATCTGTACAACGGCATAGAAACGTCAGTTCGACATCCAAGGATCAGGGAGAATGCGCTTACCCGACCTCAGAACCAAACGAAAGTCCAACTACTTTTTTGTTAAGTTTGAGTCTGCAAAGCCATTCGCATCAGCAATACTGGTTCTATATATGAAGAAAATCCAACTTATGAAGAATCCCTTAATCATTTAATGTGAAGACTTTTCGTTTCTATGTGACCCCGATATCGATGAGCCGCACAATCCAATAGTCATCCCTTCAAGCAAATTCTCCTTCGGTTTTAAAATGCAACTACTAACTTTTCTTTCGCAATGAAAAGTTGAGTCACACCAAAAATGATTGCCCGGACCGACATCACATTGTGCTGACCTATACCTACTCCTTACTATAACTGTTACTTTGATTACATCAAGGGCGCAGCCCTCTCCCAGCACTCAACTTACACAGAATC